GTTCTCTAATCTGAGCTGTTGTTAACCTGCAATTTCTGATGACCTGTTCTCTAATCTGAGCTGCTGTTAACCTGCAATTTCTGATGACCTGTTCTCTAATCTGAGCTGCTGTTAACCTGACCTGTTCTCTAATCTGAGCTGCTGTTAACCTGACCTGTTCTCTAATCTGAGCTGCTGTTAACCTGCCATTTCTGAGGCTGGTGACACAGATGAACTTATCATCCGCAGCAGAGGTGACTCTTGGTCTTCCTTTCCTGGGGTGGTCCTCATGTGAGACAGTTTCTTTTTAGCGCTTGATGGTTTTTGCGACTGCACTTAGGGACACTTTCAAAGTTTTCCCAATTTTTTAGACTGACCTTCATTTCTTAGTAATGATGGCCACTCATTCTATTTTTTACTTAGCTGCTTTTTTCTTGCCATAAAACAAATTATAACGGTCTATTCAGTAGGACTATCAGCTGTGTACTGTATCCACCTTCTCTGCACAACACAACTGATGGTCCCAACCACATTTATAAGGCAAGAAATCCCACATTAAACCTGACAGGGCACACCTGTGAAGTGAAAACCATTTCAGGTGACTACATCTTGAAGCTCATGCCAAGAGTGTGTGAAGCAGTAATCAAAGCAAAAGGTTTCTACTTTGAAGAACCTAGAATGTAAGACGTATTTTCAGTTGTTTCACACTTTTTTGTTAAGTATATAATTCCACATGTGTTACTTCATATGTTGAATAAATGCATCGTTCAAAATGGTATGTTGTGTGTTTTGTGAAGCAGTGTCAGAGTATAACTATGTGTGCTGGAACTATTTTTTTGTGATTTAGCACGTCTCCGCTGAAGTTAGCTTAGCTATGATAAACACTGCCTGACATGCCTGYGTAGATTGTAATCTTGAGCATCTATTGGCACGCTTCAAAATTTAATTGAAAAGTCATTGTTGATGTGTTATAGGCATCACATCTTAGTGGTTAGCACTGTCATTTCATGGCAACAATGTCAAAGTTAGCACAAGCTAAAATAGCTTTGCTAATGTAGCCTGTACCTGCAAACTGAAGGACATGTATGTTGTAATTACTTACTCTGCCAGTCACAAGAACTTCGTTATTCACTTGAAGGGTTTGGATTTCCTTCACAAAGTCATGAAACCATTGATTGTATTATACACTGTTCAAAAAATAAAGGGAACACTACTGCTCAAAAAAATAAAGGGAACACTACTGCTCAAAAAAATAAAGGGAACACTTAAACAACACATGCTAACTCCCGACCTTAATCAATGAAATATTCGCATTGAGTACTTTGTTCTGTACAGAGTTGAATGTGCTTCACAAAAGTTTGATTTACTTGGACTTAGTGTGCATTGTTTAAGTGTTCCCTTTATTTCTTTGAGCAGTGTATGTATATATCAATAGATGTTTGTATATACAGTATATTGATTTCAGGCTGTGAAGATTCTCCACTGTACACACTCCTCCTGTTTCATAATGAGAGATCAGACTCCATGTCATCTGACATGTTCTTGGATATATTTTTCTYCTGCACTTTGGTCAAGAGTATCAGTATACTTTGTTTTGGTTTGTCTGAAAATCRTCATAATTGTCGTTGTCTAGTGTTTATTTACAATAAGGGTGGCTAAATGGCATTTTACACTTCCAGTTGAGATGTGTGGAAACTATCTATTATGCTKYATTCACATCAAATGCGATTTAAGTATCAAAAACATGTCCAACGTTTCAARWTGGACGCTTGTGAAMTTTGAGTTCAGACACGAGTGAAAACTGCTGTCGAAGCGCATCGAGAGCCTCTTGTTTTTCCTCCTCTGCTGGTCTCTGTTTAATGATGGATGAAATAAAGAAAGTGGCTTTACTTTATTTACTGAGAGCAAGAGCACGTTGCGCTCACCAGATAATTCAGAGACGTTCTGAGTTTGGTGAGTTTCACCACCCAGGAGCTGCGAGCTGACGAGGCTCACTTTCAGAACCATTTTTGTCCCGTTGAGCTGCAGTAGTTCAGATTTTCCAAATTCAGAGTTTGACATGCGAAACAAGCGTAACGTACATCAAACCCTCAAAATGGGTCACGCTAAATGCGTTACATGTGCCGCAGCACCCAACGCTCCGTGACGCACATCCACCATAGACTGCATGTAAACCTGATGCTCCTGACACCCAAAACRTGTTTTTTTGTGAACGCAGCATTAGATCATTTACTCCACTATCATACTGAGGACCTCTCATGGCCAGTTTGGTCCCCCTAGCAAACTGGGATCAGCTTGGACACTGACTCCCACCCAGTGCCAGAYCTCTAGGACCAGTTACAAAAGCTTAGGCCAACTTGGTACAAAAGGAGATAAAATTGTACGACTCTGTTCTGCACTGCATCATGCTTCTATCCACACCCTAAAGGACTGATGTTGGATAAATTAATTATCAAGACACAAGGAATGAYGAACAAGCAGCAGATCTGGTTGAGCTCTCTTTTACTTGCAGCAAGGAKACCAAATACAGACAAGGTACAATACATACAATGTCAGCAGCATGAACTGACATTCTGTACAGCTGTCAGGCTTTTAAAGTGTGCCCTTCAAAGGAGCTGAGTGTCTTCCTGTTATATGAYCATGCAATCTCCTGTTCTCCCCAGACGTTACAGTTCCTTTATCCAGGACCACCTAATAGYGGTCGTAAAAGTAACTGAACTCTATCATTTAGGTTAACAGTTTAGGAAGTCAAAGACCAACAGCTGTGTCTTCACAGACTAAATTCCTAAAACTATGACATAAATCCAACCTTTTCACCTGGRTGCTTTACTTGTTTTTGTCATTTGGAAAAACCTAAACCTGCTTTACCTGAATGGATGTAGTCCCTTTTATCGTTCTTCATTCAGCTTATCCTAAGGTGGTTTCATCGGTGTAATATTTGGATTAACAAAAGGTGAAAGGCAAATTTGTCTTTTCTGCACAGGGCTCTGAGTCGTGGCTGCCGATGTGTTGAAGTGGACTGCTGGGACGGTGCCAACGGAGAGCCCATCGTCTACCACGGACACACTTTCACCTCAAAGATACTCTTTAAGGATGTGGTCACAGCGGTGGGAAATTATGCTTTTAAGGTAGCATCATTCATCTTTGACACATGCTTTGAGTTGCTTTAAACATACAGGCTGTTTTGGTAGAGTCAGTCTGTTTCTGATGGTTCTGTTGCTGCTTTGTTACTCATTTTAAAAGTCTTTTCATTTTTCTTCATGTCACAAGTTTCAGTCCTCATTAGTGAGACTTTTGTCTCAGTTGCTCAATGATTTTCAGGACCTGGGGTCGGATTTATAAAGCTTGTGTACGCACAAAACAAGCCCAGAAACTTGCATATGCCACTTGGATGCCAAAGTTGGCATGAAAATGTGCGGTGCCTCACCCCAGCTCTGACCCATGCGTCACTCATTTTGGAGATGGGAAGCTGCCACACTGTATTATTCGCACGCAGAGGAGACAGTCAGCCACAGATAACTGCGTGGGCAGGAGGGGGAGGATGGGGGAAAATAGTGGTGAACTTATTTCTAACTTATCTGATCTATTAATTTTTATTTACTGTTTTTATTATCTTGCAGGCTTTGAGAGAAAATAAAWTTGAAGCTGAGTTTTTGGAAAAAATCCATGAGTTTGCTCTAAATATCTGTAAACCTGCAAAATGACAAATCTTTTCATGTGAGCAGTCGTCAGCACCGTCTTCCTCCAGACACACAACAGATTGCTGTATGAGCCAGCCAATCGCTTTTGTTGACATTGATCAGCTGACTGATTTAAATACAGCTTGATCGTTTATGGTTGAGTGTGGATGTGTAGAGGGTAGAACCTGAGGCGGGACCTTTTGCACAAACTCTGAGGTGAAGCTGTGATCTATAAAGGAAAATTGCTTGAAGCTTTTTATAAATCTGAATTTTTTTTGAATTTTCACTTTTTGGCCACATGTTCACTTTTCGTATGAATTCTATGCAATCCTTTATAAAGGAGGCCCCTGGTACCTATGTTCCCTAGTACCAAAAAGTTTGCTTTGCTAACTCATAAACCACTAACTAAAAATATGGTTTTGAAAAATCATTAAACTTGTAAAAAAAACATGATACAACTAGAAGCACTGGGAGAGTACAAACCTCCACCAAGACCAATTTCCCCCATCCTGTAAGAGTTAACGCACAAAAGCAGAGATGGAAACACATTTGCCGAATAAGTTCTGGTGTAGTGAACATTTAAGCAGCAGAATGCACGGGATTTCTTCCTGGTGGAGTTCAATGTGGAAAAAAAAAGTCAGACTCATCACTCATCGTCAAACTGGTCTGAGATTAAGCTCCTAAGTCAGGGCTATTGAATTAAACTGCTCCAGGGGCCACAGTTACTGCAGGTCAACAGCTTAGGTGCTGGACATCCAGCAATTAAATTTATTATGTAAATAAACCAAGTATTACAAAGATCTGTTACCTTAATAGTTTATTTTGGTGCTTTTAATCATGATTACAACATACAGAATCCTATAAAAGTAGTGATAAATAAACAATATCAAAAACAAAAAGAACACATTATGCCTCCTATTTGACACAAATATTATTTTGACATCTCTGACTTGCCAAATTTTGAAACCAATTTTATTTTCACTTTGATAGTTTTATCTTCAACTGTTTGTCATTTTAACTGTCTTTAGTTTGCATAGAAATGTTTTTACCAGCTTGTAGYCAAGATTCTGACAGTTCTGTAGACACCAAACGTATATGTCTAACTAAAAGAACTTAAAGTAATTAAAGTAGAAAACTGGGGGTTTGAGCTTAAGAGATGAATGAACCAATTGGCGGGCCGAATTTTTGTGGCCCGCGGGCCGCCAGTTGAATAGCCCTGTCCTAAGTTTTCATCGGTCACATTCCACTGTGTAAAACGTCTGTTTTATCCCCTTTGAGTTTGTAATGGTTTGACTGTCTTTATGAAGTGCTTCCTGGAACAGTCGGCTCATGAAGGTTTTTTTAAATTTTATAATTTAATTTAATTAATTTTTTTAAGCGAGAAGCAAAATACAGTGTGAGTGCTTTCAGCACAAACACTCCCACGAACTTCAGAGCAATCAATCACACAATCAAGTTCTTATGTGGAGGGGGTACCAGGTTGATCAGCTGTTCCCGCAGACAGTCCAGCGGCTGCAGCAGGACCCTCCCACTGTCTGTCCTGTTATTCCCAAAACAACATAAAAACGTTACCTCCTCCACCTTGGTGCACACACTCACACACTGTCTGGTCTAAAAACTAACCCGCTAGCTTCCAAAATGCAGAAATGAATCTGTTCTCCTCCCGTGTCCAAACTTTGAGGCCCGGCCAGAAGCTCTCTYTTTACAAGCCTAGTACCGMCAAACTGTTTTGATTGGTTGTTTCCAGAGTTGTAAAGTAACTAAGTACAAATACTTCTTTACTGTACTTAAGTAGAATTTTTGGGTATCTGTACTTTACTTGAGTAATTATTTTTCTGCCTACTTTTTACCTCTACTTCTTACATTTTTACACAGTTATCTAGGGCTGCACCAATTAGTTGAAATAATCGATGACGTCGATTATGTAAATTTGTCGATGCAGATTTTTTATTATCGATTCGCTGTATTACATAACCACCACGTGAATGTTCATGCAATTCCATTTCGGTACCTAAATGCATCATTGCGGCCGTATATAAGAGTAGTGAGTTTTCCATGCTTGTCCTGAACGCAGCATCACAAGAGCGTAATGACGTCAGCAGCTGCTGCTTCAGTTCAGTCTGAAGCTTGAAAACAAGCCTCGCAGCTCCTGGAGTAAAATTTACCGAACAGACCACCTCTGAATTATCTGCTGGATTAATTATCTGGTGAGCATGACGTTCACTTGCTCAAAGT